CTAATATATTTTTTTTAACACAGTATATTTTTTAAATAGGATTATATAATTAAATAAAATTTTTATTTTGGGGAATGATAATTGAATGAATCCAAAAAGTTTTTAGCTTAGTAACAATACGCTTTTAATCCTAGATTTTGGCACCTCATTGGAATAATAGCTACTTTTTATATGCAGACATAAATTTCAAAAATTCCATGCTTACATTTAAATGTTTAAGGGGGTTGTATCAATAGCATAAAAAATTTAGGATACCCTTGAAAAAGTGTACGTGAACAAAAAATAATTTTTATGGTATATGTTAAAATTTTCCGTACCGCCCTTAAAAAGTTAATTATTTATACAACACTCGTATTGAAAATATAGGAAGTGTTTTTCACTTATTAGAAGCACCTTAAGATTTTGCTATGATTGAAAAATACAAATAATTATTTTTTAAACATATTTAATTAACAGCGTACCCAGCATCACCGTTTCATAGATAAAATAATTTCAAGTTAGAGGCAACGCTATGTGTTGTTACACAGACTACAGGTTGATTTTTAATTATTTTATTCGGTTTATTTAAAAAAAATTATTGGTCAGCTGGTTTGTTATAGTACAAGGCTAGTAATATATTTTTGGAAGACTAAACGTATTGATCATAAATTTATAAAAAAAGGCTTTTATAAGCTAATTATTATAATACAGCCCCCTTTATATAAGTGAATAACTTAAATTTTTGAAGACCTCAAATGAATCGTAATACAAAAGTCGCTAAATGGGTTAAAAGTCATAAATATTAACTTTGGAAAAAGTGTTGACTTTATACACCGCATTTGTTTTCTAAAACTTCGGAGAGTACTCTGCCTTAAAAATATTTATTAGTAAATTTTATGAATGCCATTCTGAATTTAAAAATTGTGTGGATTAAAAAAAAAATTGTAAAATATTAAAATGTCTGATTGTGAAACTGAAATGCTACACGGTGAATTGAGAGGATGTATACCTCTACTGTACGCTCTATTTAACTGCAGTGTTTTATTTACGCCATGAAAAAAAAATCTAAATATATATTTTAAAGTATATAAAGGATATAATTTTTCTGTTAACGTATCATTTTTTTCAGTAAAAATAAATAGAGGTCATTTGTATTGAGAAATTAGGTAAATGTAAGGTATTTTTTCCATAAAATATGTATTTGACTATTGCTTCTGGAATCATTGCTATTTTCTGTTTACACTTAAATCATATAAAAAATATATTTTAAATAAATTCTATTGTCTTAATAAAACTTCTTAACTCTACAGCATACATACACATTCAAATAATCAAAATGTTTAGATCTAAATTCGATTACTTTAAAATCATATGAAACATGCATTGTTGTCGTTTAAATCAAACAAAACTAAAACAGGCTGGACAACTAATCTCGTTGCCCTCAGATAAATTATTGATAATACTTGTACGTGTACTTTCTCTTCGTTCACGATTAAAATGCGACTCATTTATGTTACTCTTGTTTCCACGCCAACTATAAATATTAAAAAACACGAATGCATGCTCTTCGAGTTTGCCGTTTTACCGGTGAGTCACATCATCATTTACATCTGTTTGCTTACGGAACTCGTCATTGTCTTACATTATTTCGTACAATTGACGTGAGTAATATAAGGAAATAATTTTTTTAACGTTTTTTTTTTTTTCACACGCTGATTAGAAACGAAAAACGTCTTCGGTCTTCTTCATGAATTCCTGAAAGTTGAAAATAGCTGCACCCTGAAAAATATACGATTGGATAAATGCTCATTTTTTTCATATCAATAATTTTTATTGTAAAATAATTGCGGGTACTACATATAATATTTTTAGTTATAATACTTAAGAGTAAGAAAATAAATCATCTGTTAATTTGAAATAAAATTTTTGTGATATTTTACAGAAGTGCACTTATGCTTAATATCAGTTGTATTTTACAAATGAAATGTGTAAATTTTAATAAGTGATATTTAACAATGAAGTTGGTTAACGCTCCACATTACATAATACTGAAAACGTCACTGTAGTAGTATTAAAGAAAGATTACAGTTATTATCTGTACATTTACAAGAAAATATTTACTCTGATAGTCAAAAGTGCAGACGACGTTTTTTTTTTTTTTTAAAAAAAAGGTTACCCTCTTCCAATACACTTTTTTAGATGGTTGATTTTTACTTTACAATTATGACTGATGCCTTTTGCATAATGCACTACATCTAAAATCGTTTACTGTTTAACAACGATTTTCAGAAAAAAATGTCTCAAAATATTTGCATACCAACTAATGTAACAACAACAACTGGAACAAAACTTACATGTAACTATTTTACATATTACATAAGAAGTTTTATTACATAATCGATTCATCAGGTAAAGTGTGATGTGTTGTGTATATTAATATTTAATAACTAAAATATGTAAACTCATATTATATCCATACGCCAGCCACGTACATTTTTGTTTAAAATTTCTGATTCACATGATAAAGTCAAATTATAATTGCTAGTTGAGCCAGTCTTTATACTTGTTGAAAATTTATATTTTATAAAGATAAAATAAAATAAAATGAAATTGTCCCAATTCATTACACAAGCTTTTGCGTTGAAGCTGTTTCGGTATTTTTCGCTGTTTTATTTTATCCTTAAAAAACAGCTAATGTATAATGAGTATCGGTAGCTATTCTTATTAAAATAATATGACTTTATCGGCAAGGTCACCTAACTTGTAGCGTACACTTTACACTATATTGCAATACCACCATTATTTTAGCTCACGAATAAACCTATAACGTATCAGAAGCATTATCTAGATAATTTGATAAGCCGATAATTATAAAAACGTTATTTAATCACCCGAGTTCAAGTCATGGAAAAAAAGATGGGTTCCACTTAATTTTCTGATACGTTTGGTTGCTTTCATAAAGTTCCAGATGATAGTTCGATTCTAATTCCGCTGTATTCCAAGCTATGAGTGATACGTAGAATTTAACGCTAGTTATCAATAACCTCGAAATCAACGTTGAAAATAAATTGAAATATTTTGTTAATAAATATCATGATGAGGTACATTGATCAGTGTGAAGAAACGTTTCGTAAAGAGTTGCGTAGAATATCTATTAATCGTAATAAGACTATTGATCGTAACAATAACTGCAATTGACTTTGGAAACGGATTTTCAAGTTAAGGACAGCCAAATATACACGTTTGGTATGCATCAAAACAAAGCGGAATCACACATCATGACCTAGTATGTTACTGTTTGATAAAAAAATTAGGACAAATAAGGATAAAAAAACTGGTCTTAGCGTGGAATCGAACTTTGCTTCAAGGAAGCAGTTTCTAGTTCGATTCCAGGTCGAGACCTTTTTTTTATCGTATCTTCATAACGCCCGAATAGTAATTTATCAATTTTTCTCACAAAAAATAGCGGTACTGCATCGTAGATGTAATATACACCACAACTTTGACGGCATCGTCATTCAAGTCTTATTATTTTGAGAATGTCCAAAAAAAAGAGAAGTGCATTATTATTATAATGACAGCAAGACATGTATTTTATATCGCGTCGGTAAAGATGTTCACGAAAAATTGACCTACACTCTCGATGTCCTTGACGAGGTTGTTGAGTTTCTTGATGTACCCAGGAGCCTCCGTGGTCTTCGGCTTGGCTTTCATAGTCGTCGTCGTCGTTGTCGTCGTCGTCGGCGGCGGTGCAAGAGTAGGGCTAGCCTTGGGCTGTCTGGTCTGGCGCTCAAGTGTGCGGTTTGCCTCGGTGAGTTTGCGCTCGAGCTCGGCACGCTCGTCGCCCAGCTTCCTCAGCTCGGCCTTGAGTTCCTCCTGGGACTCTTGGTACTGCTTTTCCAGGTCCTTGTGCTTTTTCTCTAGGGCTTCGAAGTTCGAGGACATGGCTTCGAGGCGGCCATGGAACTTGAAGCGGCTGGAGAAGTACATCGCACGCTGGGTATCGATCATTTCCTCTAGATGACGGATTCGTTCGGACTCCTCTGCGCTGCAGTTCCTCACTTTTTCTTGGTTTTGGGTTCGAAGTTCTGTGGGATTTAAAACCACGTTTTTTGAAAAGGCTGTGTATTGTTTTTAAACTCGTTAACGATGATCAATACAGAGACACGTGTGTTCACATTTTTGTCGCGAACCTTTACGAAATATCATTTTTTCATCGAATGATCATAGCGATTAATAATGTGGAAAAATATTGTCGACGTTGCAAGACATTCAAGTGAATTGAAAACGAATTACAATGTGTGTTACAATGACAAAGATTTCCAGACCGGAATATTTTCGTGAGAGTTTAAAATTATTGACAAAGATTAAATTTATTTACGAGTCAGGATTTTTTTTCTTTCGCAATCACAACAATGACTCGATAAGTACGTCGAGAATGATTGTCCTTTTAACGAGGAGTAATAAAAAAATATCATTCTTGATAAAAGTATTTACTAAAAAAACGTATCCAATTCAACAATTGTCAAGTACATACCATCATTTTCTCCTTTGAGAGCCTGCATCTGCGAAGAGTACCATAGCAAGTCTTGAGCTTCCACAGTGGCTGAAAAAAATATTTTTAATCAACTAAAATATCATGCATATAATTTATGGTGTAAAAATCACTTTGGCAGTTGAAAAGTTTCAATAAATTATTCCAACCCAGTCGCGAAGAAACCTTTTGTCTTTGCAGAATTGATTATAATGATTCACTATACGCAAGAATTATTAAAGGCATCACTTTACCTGCTTGGTCATTGCAGAAAACTCTTGACTGTGCAAGGAAAATGTAGGCGGACAAGAGTATTATCACTGCGCTCAGTACTCCTGACAGACGACGCCACTGTATAAAACATATTGTAGTTTCAATTCAAGTATTTTGGCTTTAGAAAGTTCGATTAGTGAAATATTAGTCTTGTACGGAAAAGTTTTGGTTTTAGTATTTTTTAAAGAATTCTAGTATGATTTTTTGCGTCAAATATTGACTCTTCTAAATTAATACACTAAACCCTTACAATTGCCAATATAATATATGGTGGTAGCAAAGACGATTTCTAAGCGATATTTTTTACAAGTATTACTCACCACTTCAACTTTATAAGAAATAACACATTTAAAATCTCAATAGATAATATAAACCATCCATTTATGAGTTTTTGAAACAATCTATCTTTATCAAGCATACACAACATAAACATTGCCTGCATCGATATCTTTTTTTACATTTACGACTGTGTTCGTTTTCATTTGACGTGTATGTGTGGATATAACATTCGAATCTTTTTCTTTCACTTGTCTATATGCGCTCGAGGTACGCGAAACTTGGTAAACATACTGAGTGTTCCAAAAATATTGCAGGAAAACTGTACTCCGAGATCAAGCCACAGGATTGACCTCATAAAGTCGAACAAAAAAATTCTCTTTACAAAATTTTGATCCACTACTTATTCTCTAATAAATCATTTATTAAAAATCAATACAAAGGCTTTAAAAAAAAAATTCTTAAAAAATCATCCACATATCGAGCTCCATTCCGTTGAATCAAAATTTTTTAAAGTTTTTTTTTGTTTTCCTTATTGATGAGCTTAATCTTGCGGTGCAGTTTTATTCAAACATTTTCAGAGTACTCTGCGTGCAAGTGCACTCACTGATGCCCCCACTCTTCAGGATCAGCGTGTTAAATCTTACGGAGGAAAATCAGTTCATGCATCCGGGGAAATTCGAGACTTTTCCATCAGTAAAAACGTTAAAAGTGACAACTAGCGCCAATCCTTTCACCATCGAATTGCACGCAGCGAATAAATAAAATATGCACACCATGTGCTGATTGCATGTAATTTTAATGCCAAAGAGGTCGGCCAACGAAACATGGTAACAAAAAATTACAATTCAGTATCATCGGTATGGTTGTATATTACGTTACTGCTCGCAACAGGTCAACTCCGAATTGACAAAAATTTGGAAACGTCCACTGTAAGGAACCTCCGAAACCGAGAGGACATTGTTTACCGATCACCTATATTGACATAACGCCTCGAAAAATGAAGGCTCCTTGTTATGCGTTTGACTGCACGGTTAAAAAGGAAAAAAAAAAAAACCAGGTCTGAAACATCGGTACAGCCAACCGACTTTCTAAAAGCAAAACGGGGACCTCTTCTCCCCGGAAAAATTTCCACTCGTCGCACGCGCGAGCAAAAACGCAAATGAGCCCCGTATGCGTATGTACAAACTCACTTTGGTGGTCCTCCGGTTTCCCTCCTCGATGGCGAGAACGAGCTCGCCGATCTCCACGTACTCGTTCTTCGCGTTCTGCTGGTCGGCCGCGACGACCCCGGCCTCCACGTTTTTGCTCGCCTCCTTCTCGCGCCCGATGTTGAAGCCCAGACGGCCCATCGTGATGCTCCTTTCTACGCAGCGGCGAAAAAATAGGCGTGACCCGACTCCGGTCCCGATGCACTGCAGATGCTACAATAATACACCGAACAGCTGCAGCGTCAGCGATGCGTCGAGTGCGACTGAAGGGAATCTCGACCTGATGGCGACCGCGATCTGCCGTGAGTGGCTTTCGCTAGTGCGCGTGTGGGTGCACCCATACGCTCGAAGAGATCGAATAGTGGGGCACACTATTGTGACTTTTGTGCGAGGGGCCATCGTCGGATCTTCCGTTTCGTTTGTGTGCACGGGAGGGGCTCTCCCCGATCGGTACTGTCGGAACGGGGAAGTAGCCTTGGTGTCTTCTTCGACTGATGGGCCACTCTGGACAACGACACGTTTTTTTTTTTTGTTTTTTTTTCTTCTTTTTTTCCGTTGGATCGAGCGCATAATGTCAAATCGGCTATGTGTGTCGGTGATTATGGGCTTTCGTTTTTGAGGGGAAATCGGCAGACTTTCCGATGTATGCGTACGAGTAACTCATGGAAATAACTTTCTTGCAGCCGCAGCTTTCTTTTACTTTACGTTTCAGGGGAAATAGTTCGACTTTGACTGTGCTGATTGAGAAAGATGTGTGATGCAGTTCTCAATGAAATGCTGTACCAAGTAACACAATGAATTGCAACCATTGATATTAAAAAATACTGCTTAATTACTGTATACGAGTAATCTTCAGAGGTGTATACCTTGTTGCAAAGTATTAATGAAGCTTACATAATAAATAATATGTACAAACGGAATCGACATCATCTTCAAGTTCCAACATCTCAAAGTCATACGGGGAACCTGAGGCTGTGTACTTTACTGAAAATTATAGAGAAATTCCAGAAAAAATTACCATTCCGCACAGTGAATTGGATGCAAGTTGGCAAAAAAGGGGGGCGTTGATATTTTTAACAGTAAACATTACTGTTTTAATAGTTAAAATTGTATTTTAAATAGTTAGCATTATGGTTAGATCAGTAATAATTAACATGCTGGATCAGTAAACCTTAAAAAGATTGGTTAATTAATTTACTTTCCCGCATATAAATTTTTACTGTTCTAACTATAATTTTAAGTGTTAAAACAACAATTTTTACTGTTGAAAATAACAAATTTTTCTATATAATTTTTTTTCCTCTCAGTGTATAATATTAACATTTAGCATTTAACGGTCATCAAAAGTTCATAATACTTGTTAAAAAAAATTTTTTTTCATCAGTTAAACTTTTGGTACGTGCACTTTGTACTTACGTAACACTTTACTTAAACAAAAAAAAATCTTTTTTATTTAAAAGTTAAATTTTTTTTTTTTTTTTTCAAAGGGTTACCGTGACGGCCTACTAGCCGTGTCACCGGGGCTACCTACTCACCACCTGTGTGGGGTATATTGCTGCACCCATTTACCAATCATCTAACTGATATTATACCTACCATATACCATGAGCACAGTGGGAGTATCTCCAGTAAAACACCGTGCCAATTAAGCTGGCACTCTCTGCACTAATGGTGCCGCTAATCCCTATTTATATAGGAATTCGTACTATAAAAAAATATTTTTCAACGTCTCATGAAGTGTAATGACAATGAATCAAACTATTAATCTAAATTCATCGTATGCCTTGGGAAATGATATTTTCATCGTTTGTTAATAATAATCGATAGTTAAAAAACATTTCTCGAGAGGCTACGTGGATGGAACAATCAGATGAGAATAAATATTTTTATATTAAATAATATACATTAATAACCGTAAAAATCTATGATTTGCAGTGAAAAAACGTATTATTATAACACAACCATGGTATATATATGATGGGCAAATAATTTAATAAATAACACCTAAAAACATAGGTGATTGAGTTATTATTTCCAATAACACTTAAAAAATGGGTATTTTAAAATTATTTCATCATCATACGCTTTGGAAGACAAAAATTTATTCTTCTTTTTTTCTACTTAGGTCTAATTCAAACCACCTGTTTACAACGCATAGGTCTATTGAGTCTCAAAGCATACCATACCACCCGTGCTGGGATTATATATGGGTCCTTAGATTTTCGACACAAAATTTATCGAACGTTTCGCCACATTATGCAGTTTGTTACGGTAACAGCTACATTATTTTTAAATGAGAAAAATTTCTACCTGGCAATATCATTAATCTCATAGAAATTTGTCTCACAGGATACTGAGATTTATATGGATTTATGGTTACTCTACCTCAAACGTCGCAAAATGAAACGCAGTTTTATCCTTATTTTATAATTTTTAAATTACTTTCACACTCCAAGTATAAGGCTTTATTAGCCTGACTATTGGTGAAATAAAAAGTTGGTTGTAAAAGCCTTTCATAAGAATTCTATAAAGTTATTTTTAAAAATTCCTACGAGGTTTTCATCTTACAAAAAATTAACATAAATTTTATACAAGCAAAAATAATATCATTAATTTTATTATGTATTGTTTATAAAAAAAAGTTAACCACTTAAAACTAATAATATGAAATAATTACGTCAGGATTTGAGGTACTAATAGTGTTTACAATTGATTTATTACAGGCTGTTACCAAGTCATTCGAAGAGTTAAAGTCAGTAGTAATTTTTTTTGTTTGAAAATTGAAGAATATTGTTTTATTCAATCATTATATAACAATGGTTAACAATTTTTTTTAGCAATCAGTTGTAATGTAAGAAAATTATCATAAACTACTCGAGCATATCATAGTAACAACAAATAGTAAATATCGTAAACTGTAAGTCTCAATGGGTTGGAAATCAGAGTAATTATTATCGTTTTTTCTTTTATATTATTATACTTTGAGATGTTATTCAGGACGAAAATAAAAGAAAATAATAACTGGTAATACCTAATAGTGACAATTATTAAATTTAAGTATCAGTTTCAAATCTTGACTTCAGTCATTCTTACTACTAATTATTATCACCTATCGTGAGTCATTCATTCAGATGATTTTCATTGGCGCGTAAGCAAATTTTTTTCACCCCACTGCAACAAAAGACTGAACTTTCTTTGCAGATAGATGATTTCGTCTCTCGGTCAGTTATGGGGGCAGATTAACTTTTTACAACTCATGCGTTCACTGTTATGTTTACTTGAGCAACGTGCAGAGGCAAGTATATATGCTCGAAGGTCGAGTCAAAAGACGATAGAGCCCTCTGAAGTGAGCGCATGGGTTGCAAAAACTTGGAATTTGCTCTTAACGCAGCATTACTTAGTGGAAAATCGGTGTGCAACCCACGGAAGGAAACAAACATCACATTCTTGGCAAATAGAGACTTTCTTTATTTTTCCTCTCTTGGTGAGTATAATGCAATATTTCCCATCACGTGTTGCTCTTGACCATATACACCTATCCAGTTGAAAAGTGAAAACGCTCTACGTTTCCTTATCGCTCCCGGAGGAATTTTGGCTACCAATGCACGAAAAGTCTCCCGAGTCTCCCGATTCATAAGTGTTTACCTACACTTACACCGCGCGCCCATTGTCTGGCATCTGATGAAACAACTTCCACCCTGCATTACTGCACTGACCATAACTACGATACTCTATTTCAACAATTCTCACTTCAACGTACGTGCATATGGCTATTTTATTTATGGCTATTACAACTGTTTATTAATATTTAAACGTGGAAATAACTTCAAGCTCTATCTAGAACTATCATTTCTATTTTATACCAGATCCTTGAAATATAACTGTAATGCACTTCTTGAAAAGAATAAAATTAATAGCTTTGTACAAATAACTAAGAGCAATTTTTATCTTATTACAATCGTTGAACGTTTCCTATCTTAAAAAAACGATGGATCACGTGATAAAGCCTGTTTATTCGTCGCGTGATTGGCTGAGACCGATCAAGCGCAGGTAAATTTGAAAATGAGATTTTGAAAAATCAGTGAAAAGTCATTTTAATTTGTAAGTTGATAAATATTACAATATTACGTGTTACGACAAAGATATAATTATTGTATTTTTTTTTTTTAATACAGAAAATAAACGTTTGATTAAATTTACGGTATTGGCGCACGCAGCCTCCTAGTAAAAAAAAAAATAGAATTGCACTCATACGGCCTGTCTTACTTTTCCCCCAACTGGCTATATATATCACGATTTTTTTGATTCTCGAGGGTGGATTAACTGTTTCTCTAACGCTTCGTCTACGTGATCATAGGTGTGATTGAGTTGGCCCTCGTGTTTATTCGTATAAACATCTGGTAATAACTCAGGTGCACCGATGGTTAATTAATACTATGCTTGTGTAAAAAATCGCCATGTCTGAGCCTACGGGTGATGATGAATAAAAAAAATATATATGTATATATATACATAGCGGGATTAACGTGACCTTTTGGAATCCAAATATACACGGAAGATTGTTGTTACCAGAAAAAAAGGTACTATATGTTAGTACAAGTATTTTCGATACTCTGTACAAGAAAAATGTGTACTAGTACAGGTATATTTGGTACGGTAGTATACTTTAAAGTACCTTAGTGAGTATAGATAAACCTTATACTTAGTACGTCAAAATCCGATACGTAGTACGGGTTTTTCCTGTACCAGTACAGAAAGTTAGTCAGCCAGTGGGAGCATATAGAATGTCAGTATATATATACGTAGCTGTAAAAGTTCAAGATTTTAGGATTTCAGTATATCCACCACAACACAATATAAAGTTCAATACATTGATACGTATCTAACAAGATGTAATGATAAGTGCAGTAGGCACTTGTAGTCACTTTCCTGTTGCGTATAATAATTGGTTTTCACTCCCAAAGAACAATTTACATATTGAGCCAAAATAACAATGACAATCCCATACATGTATGCAAGTATTCACATATATATACATACATATCTCCACTGTATATTATAAGCGCACGTACTATGCGCGGTAGACGGTACAGTAGAAAGCCATGCGCAGTATACAAATTTAATGGACTATCCATGGTACAGAAAAATCCTGTACCGGTTGCAGAAATCTCAAGACCTGTACGTTATTTTTCTATGCTCATCACTTTTGGTATAGCTTATTCTGGTAACAACAATCTTCCGTGTAGCCCATGCGACGCTTTCTATGTTGTTTG